CATAATCTCAGAATCTTTTTTTGATGAGTCATTTTGAATCGAAATCACATCTTTCTGGGCTGAAGACAACTTACCTTTCAATATCTCGATCATAGACTCGAGTGATTTGATTTTCTTGGATTTTGTAACATTCTTAGCCTTGAATTCAGCAATAAAAATATCCTTTTGTGCGTTATGAGAAATAAGATTGGTATTTTCATTTTGTAGTTGCTTATACTCATTAATAATTTGCAAAGCGTGGGAGCGTAACTTTTGGATCTCAGTATTATTTTGTAACAAATCCCGATTCCACTTCTTTTTCTCTTGATCAAAAGCTTCCATTCGTTTCAAGTATTTAGATTGCAATGCTTCATTACAATCATTTAGCTCGGATATAGACTTTAAACTGCGATGTAAAGTTTCTTCGAGCTCTTGCTCACGCATACTGCCAAGACGATAACCTTTATTAGAGCTAATATCTCGTAGTGTATGTACATTAGCCATATTAAATAATAAAAAATAGATATTAAAAATTAGTTATAATTGATAAAATGGGACGCATACATAAAGAATATTATAGTGCTAATGCAACATACCTATCCGATGAGGCTATCAAAGAAATCAAAGAATCGCCAGGTAAGATGCCTGATGCTGTAAACATTATGGCAAAAAAAATCGTATTTCTCATACTCGTGTTATAGAATACATAGAAAATCGGGAGCGTAAACAACAAATAAGAAATACTAATACTACCAACTGGGATAAAGAAATCGAGAGTATTTATGACTTATATGCGGAACTTCCATATTAATAAAAACTAGCTTGATTATTACTTTCTATAATTATCTAATGATATTTAATGTTAGATATCATAGACTATAAAAAATATTATTAGATATGGTTGAATTGGGTTATATATTACATTTCTAGCACCTTATATTTGTTTCGTTAATATTTTTATTTATCTACAATAATATATATCATTTTTTATCATTCTAAAATATTAAATATTATTTTTTATCATTCTAAATATTCAATAAGAAACCAAACTATGGATACCCCATATCTAAAATCTTACTATCGACGAGGTTCTACATTTCTAACTTCTGAACAAATAGAAACAATTAGAACACTCAAGGGAAAGGTTCCTAAATATAGAATAATAAGAGATTACCATATTAATGAGAATCGGGTTAATGACATATGGGAAAGTCATGAACGTCAGCAACAAATAATACAAAATACAATTTCCTCCGAAATATTACCTATATCAGATACGAAGTATCCTGCTTCGCAGACAGTCTTACCTGAACAGAGCAAGCCTTTAGTCGATAAATCGGAGATTCAAGACTCCGCCTCTTCTTTGAATCATATTTCTTCGAATCTCTATCTGGAATCTACTACCTCCCCCAATACAGAAATAAAAAAGAGAAGTTCCAAATCTCGGTCGAAATTTGTGCGTATATCTGATCCGATATCTAGTGATAATGTCGATTCTACAGAAAAAATATGTGGGGGTGATACATGCGAAGCAAGGACACTTACGTGTCTAAATAACATTCCTAATACAGATATAGTAGCCCAAATTGAGCGAGAAATAAAAAGAAAGGATAAAAACTTAGCTAGTAGCACTCGTATAAAATCTACTACTTAATCCATTTTGACTTTATCTGTAACATGCTCAATAATATTACTACACTTTGCTTGCAGAGCTTCATTACAGTCATTAAGTTCTGTAATCGATTTAAATGCATTATAAAGACTTTTTTCATATCTCTCGCAATTTACGCATTTTTTTTTTAAGTCTTCCTCATTAGTTGAGTTAGATGAGATGCTAGATACTTGAGGTAATGAATCTTGCTTCTCTTTTGGTGGATCTAATGCTTCTGGAGCCTTGTTAAAAGTTGGGATAATGTAAGACTTACCATGTAACTTCATTCGGAATTGGTTTTTATTTGGGTCAAGAATACCTTGAACTTTTCGAATCCATGTCATACCTAAACATAACATTGGTTCGGGTTCACCATTATCAATATGTGTAAAATTTCCACTAGCTGTAACTGTTTTACCATCCTTATCCTTTATAGTGATTGGCACATCTGTAAACCATCCTAATGATTCAGTGATATATTTAGAGTTACCTTTTATATCGAAGTTAGATGGCATATCAGCTTTCCATCCAAGAGCATTAATTGTTGCATCATTCAAGGCTCCGAATTCACTTCCAATATCTAAAAAAGATTCGGAAATAGATAAATCATTTATACTAGCATTCAGGTATTGTAAAGATGAAAACCACTTATCTGATTTTGATTCTTTTTTCTGAACTGTATGGGTCTGGCACATTTTACGCATTGCTGGCGAAAGCTTTGGCAATAGTTCATCATATGTTTCAGGATTTTTTGGTGTCTCACAGAGTGAGGATGCCTTTGCATCTAGTAGTTGTTTTTTTTTTCTGACGAATCATACCATATATTTTCTTCTTCATCATATCCCCCCTCTTTATCTTCCTCATTTGCTAAATTAATGGGTTTAAGAGGAGTAAAATAAGATCGATTAAAATTGGATTTTGCGATATTGCCTTTACGTATATTTAGTTTCTGGAATTCTTCAGTTAATTGGTTCATAGCTTCACGAGTTTCATTGAGTCCTTCCTCCATTCTATTTATTCTAGTAGATTGGTTTGTTGATCGTAATCGTTCTGGTTTAGTTGCTATGGGAGGGGGAAAAGCTTTATCCAACCACTGTAGACTTTCTTCTCTAGAAGTATTTAACCATCTAGGATCTCCCCCCCCTTCATAAAATCCGAGTAATTGTTCGTAATCCTTGGGTGGAACTGGAGGACGAGATTTTTTGGGTTATTGACTCATTTTTGATTCGAACTCAGCTTTCAATTTTTCCATCTCAGCTTTATGTTTAGCATCCTGTTTATCAAACATAGCTTGAAAAGATTTTTGCATTTCATCATACGAAGGTAATGCTGGTTGTGAAACCGTAGGTTGTAGAATATTACTAGCAGGCTGTGAACTTTGAACATTGTCATTTTGCTTTGTAAATGATTTTTTCTTTGATTGTACATAATCAGAGTTTGATCTACATATAAACTAGAACGTTCAAGCCACATATTTTTCAATATAATGAAAAAATCATCAATTCCTGCTATATTTTCATTTCTCATCCAACTATAAAGTTCTCGGTCACTTGATAAATGTGTCTTGAGAGTTCCTAATACTCGTGCATCATCATTTGGTACACCTAATATCAGTGGACGAATTCGGGCTTCATAGGTATCGGGATTATCAAAAGGTTGGAATCTTTCTTGAGATAATCTTAAAATAGCTGATTGGCTAGTTCCAACTGTTTCTCGTTGATATTTTGCATTTAACCATTCTCTTAAAGTATCTGGACTATCAATATTAACTGCTGGATTTACAAAATTATTTTGAGCTGGGACGGGAGCATATTTTCCTGCCATCTTACCTTTCATAATTTCAACTTTGACAGCATCATCGAAATCTCCTGCATTATCATTTTCAAGAGCTGTCATATTTGGTACCGCGGGTGCCCAAGCCTGTATAATCATATCACAATAGTCATTCGGAGGCATTTGTCCTATATATTGAGGAATCGGATTTAACAGAGTCGATACATACTTTAATGTAGGTAAACGTCTACCTTCTGCCATATTTTGTGGGTTATTTTGTAACAATAAAATTTGTCCCTGCAAATTTAAAATTAATTGTTC